ATGGACCTCCTTCATCTCAGGTCTGAGCATGAAGGAGAGGGGAGAAACGAGTCACCTGCTTCAGTTTCTCCTGGCACTTCCAACTTTTGGGTTGGAATGCAAGTGCTTTGGACACTCCCCAATAAATAGGGATATGAGGCAGAAATGGGGTGTTACCGGAAACTACTAATTGAGAATTCCTGAATGAATATAATCATATAGTGATGTGTAGCCTTAAGGGATTTGTATAGTGTAGATTTTCCCCTGCTATTCGTGTCTGTAGGAGGCCTCAGTGTTTGGCTGTATAAATTCATAAAGAAACCGTCTGGCATTGCCATAGGCAGAGACTGTGGGTTTTTGCTGCTGGGTCTTTTCCCTGATACTTGGTGTCATGCACATACTGGGATGGTCTAGGCATGTTTTACCAGTTTTTAAAGGAATTCTTAAAGTGTCTAAACACTTTGGTTTGAATTTTCTGGGGAGATGCAGTGTTTGGTTAAGATAATTCTGTTGTTCAGCTCATGAAAAACACAGCACTGCCTCACCCATATTTCAACAAATCTAGGACAATCATTCAGCAGAGTAAAGAGGGTTTTTGTGGTTATTTCCTCTGTGTGAAGAATAAAAAGAGGAAAGAAATCTCAGTGTAGCTAATGTTGCCTCTTATAGTGCTTTGTTTTCGGAAAAAGGAAGTTTGAAACATAACTTTGTAGTTTTTGCATGTCTCGATCATTCTCATTTCTCAAGCTAAAATAAAAAAAAAAAGTTCATTTGCTCAACCCTACTGAGTTCTCTGATTGAATTTGTATTGCGTGGTTTCCTTTGGTGGCCAAATTTGAAGATAGTGACATCTCCAAAGAGAAGCGTTCCCACGAACCTCCCCTGTGTGAAGCGAGCTGACATCTACACAGCTGACGAGACGTGGGGAAGCGAGTAGGCTCTGTGTGCGAGGAGCTCCTCTCCAGGGGCGAGGCTGTCACGGATTGAAGGGCAGAGACGCCAGGGCCATTGATCCAGGAAGAAGGGTGTCCCGGTGAGATTAATTGTCTTGCACCGGAGGATAGTGTGACTTTGCTCTGTTTCTCCTTGTAAGGTGGAGAGGATGTTGCGACAGTACCAGAGAAGAGCCATAGTCCTTTTTGTGGAACAAGAGTAAATGTTGTCTTGCAGACAAATTAGCGTGGCTTTAGAAAGGGCAGAAAGAATAGTAAGAGTCTAGACAGGAAACACTTACAGCCTAGGTCAGGATTTCAGCAAGAGGGAGGTAAGAATTTTCTAGGAAATATTGCTGTAGAAGAGCTCAATATCCTCATTAACGTCCAACACCTCCAGTAAAATACTAAGAGAAATTACATTAACCGTTCTTGCCAGCTTTAATGTTAAACAAATATTCCAGGTGAGCAATAAATCAAGTAGATGAATTTGCTTCTCTTGCCATGATAGTTGGTCATCTTTTCCTACCTTCTAAACAGGCACTGTGGCACAAGGAGACACACACAACTAATAGAAGGCTAAAACTCATTACTGCTAACTGATGCTCTAGGTTTAGTATGGTTTTGGTCAAGCCTTTACGTTTATAGTAAAGTCTCTAGAAGTTGCCAGTGTGGATGCAGGCACAGGATAAATCTGGAGAGAGCATTAGCAATGCCTTACTTCTGTGTGGTGCTGATTTTTTTTCCTGGCTCTATTTCCACTCTCACTTAGGGACTGAGTAAACTGAAGTAGGCAAATACAAGTAAATGGTCGTACTGACTGTCCTCGCTCTGAGTTTCACTGATAGACAGCTGTGAACAAATTTGGGTAGTACCAGAGGAATTTCAGTGTTTTGCTTATTGCACAGAATGATGCTCTTCGATATCACTTGTGATGCTGAAAGCGGTGGGGGATCCGAGGGGGGTGGTCAGAGCAGAAAGCGAGCTCCGCAGCCATTGCTGGCAGTCCCAGCACACTGCTGGACCCTGTGATGCTGCAGGTGGGGTGGGTTTTGAGCCTTGTCTCTGCGAATCCAATCCTCCTCCTCAGTGCGGGAAGGGTGGTTTTTTTGCACGTTCCTTGTTAGCATCTGTCTGCAGCCTGAGCTGCTGAGCTGGTCACATGCTAATGAGCTTGTTTTTATGAAATGAGTTCGTTTTGTGGTGTAATAGGCTACAGTCTAAACTTTCCTGTTTTTTTTTCTTTTTTTTTTTTTTTTTGCTTCCGTTGAAGAGTATGTCTTTGACCTCACTTTCGTAGGCTTGGGAAAGGGTTATGGTACAGAAAG